AAAGCCGGCATAGTTGGCGTCGCGCCAGCTTGTGCCAGCGATGTCAACACGGCTACATCTTTGACCTTTGAAAACTATGGGCGCTTCAATCTTCATTTAGGAATACTCCTGCTTGAATACCAATGTTTTCTTTAATCCAGAAGAGACAGAATTTAGGCTATCCGGCAAATCAGACTCAGACTCAGACGGTCACGTTGCGGCATCACTGAGCTATACGACCGAAGTATCGGTTGATATCTCGCCAAGGAAAATGCACTGTTTGGCTCGATACACCAACCTTTATGACCTAAAGCAATGTCTTAATATATGCTCTTACACAAATGAATACTTTGGAATAACAAAAGGCTCGAATCTCAAAGCATTAGCTCCATTTCGGCGATTATAGTTACCCACACGGCTTACTATAATCAACGAAACGAAACGAAACGAAACGAAACCTCTCCCATCCCCCCTAAGTTATCTCTTTTGTTTAGAAAATTTACATATTGGAGGGGGAGGGCTAGGGACTTTTTTGTCTCTTTTCCCAGACGCCCGACATTGTTGTGATTATGGCTTTTAAAATACCAACTATAAGAAGAAATAACGTGTCTTCTTTCATAACGGAAAGCAATATTCTACAGTTTCGTTTCGAAGAGGTTCAAGAATTGAGACAAACGCACACAAGAAAGGAAGAAAGAAAAGAAAAGAAAAAAACTCAATATAGAATAGCTTACGAGCCGTGTATTACGTTTTATTATAGTCAATTTCTTAACAAACTGTCTTTGAAAAATCCTACTCTGAAGGGTTAGGCTATGACGTCATCATGCTTATCAGTCTTTCCTTTCTATCAATAGCCTACATATTTCATTACAGAACCGAAACATTAATAATATAATGTCAAATAAACACAAAACATAATGCCTATTAAAAGAGATTTCGCACTCACGTAATTATCGACTGAAACTGCGTTCATGACGAATAGTCGATCCGTCATACATTGCATTTKATCACAATATAATTTTCAGGAAGATTTTAAAACTTTGTTCGATGTTTAGACCTGAATACTAAAAAACTGATGTGTTTTCATTTTACTTTAAGAAGAGTATCACGTGATTAAAAAAAAATGGTTCAAAATGGGGAGTGGAAATATTTTTCGGAACGTGATGTTATATTTCGTTTGGTTTCTATCATAGAGAGCTTTTCAATTTAGACATTTTTCTTTGAAACGAAACAGTTTACGCGACCGAAGTTGCATATTGATTTTTTGTAAATATTTTCTTTAACGAATAAATGAATACAACGAGAAAAGGCTTATTCATATATGACCTATACCAGCTATATATAAGCATGTTTGAACTGGATTGATAGACAAAACCTATGTATTCCCCATTTAAAAATATCATATACCTTTAGTTACGTGAATTCCAAAATTCTCCACTTCTGTCAAAAAATGGGTTATACTTAATATGGTTACTGTACTATCAAAGAATGTMACAACTCAACACAATACCCAAGCCTTAAACTGCCTATAATTCAAGGCTAAATTGTTCTTTCAAGAACTTAAGGTGGCTGGGATGGAGCCTTCTCTTGACACTTTCTTGAACGTGGATTCTTTCCTTACAAAAGTAAGGATGCATTTTTTTAAGGCAATCTCTTCTTGTGCAGTAAAAGCGTTTGGCCGTTTTCTTTCTAGTTGTTTCCATCTTGAGAACYTTCCCACCTTTATCGCGTATTGGGTACTGATATCTTTCTTCATGTATAAAGATAATGTCGAACGGGATGGTCAAAAACAAACGAGGAATAGCGTTTTTGCAGCTCTGACATTCTTTGGCTTGGGGATGGTCTTTGATAAATGCCAGTTCAAAGGGATTGTCGTTATGATAGTATTTTGTGAAGTGACAGGCTGGAGTCTCAGWTGTACAATCTTCACTGTTTTCGTTGTTGACATCTATTATTGGAGCTTTCTTGATGTTGTTTTGTCCCCTCCGTTTCTTTTTTGGATCTCCAGGCTTCTTTCCACGCTGTTTTGGGAGATTGTTCGTTAGTACTTGAAATGGAAGATTAGGCATGTTATCAAGCTTGTCAATGTAGCCTTGTAAATCCTCTTTATGKAACGCAACAACAACAATATGTGAGCAAAAGTACGCGTTTTGTTTGAACATAGGACAGTTACAGCGAWAATTCYTGGCTTTTTTCCTTTCAACTACGAAAGCTTTATCCTTTTCAGCCACACAGAACTTATTATCTTGCAATGGCATTAGAGCGTCTGTCTCTTGAATGCTTACAGCCATGGAGGAAATCTCCGCAATCTGATTCCTTGTTAGGATTCTTGATAATTTCTCTGTCACCTCCTTCGTTCCAAGATACGTTTTCAGTGAAACATCAGATCGATTAACATCTTTGGGGGTGAAATGCAAAACCTTATTCGCATAGGACTGTTTCTGTTCTGGTGTCATTTTCCCCACTCCGTGAATGATTTTTCTAAATGCCGATATTCATTAGCCAATCTGTATYCTCCCAAGCAAAAGATGCTCTTGATAAGCTCTTCTTTCTGTGATTCGACTACTCGTTCTTCAATAACCTGGTGAATGACAACCTGGTCGACTTTWTTGCGTTGGATGTCGTCTTTTATCGTGTTTTTAAATGACTCGCAGCGCTGATTGTCGTATTTATTCGGTGGATTGCCGAGTCCTGCCTCAGTYCTCACGGACTTGAGCATGCATTTCTGAATGGTCTCCGAGAAAGGTCTAAGTCGGCCCTTACACGTTTCAATCCATGAAATAACGGGTGTTGGAAGATCWTTCTTTAGATCCTTAAACTTGGATGCAAATTCTTCTTCCGAGCAATCGACKAAACCGGCAGTACGAACACCACTGCACTCTTTTCCAAGCACTTTCTGAATGATAGTGTCCTGCTCTTGTTCCGGTATTCTGTGAGTTTTCATAGCCTGTTTCATATCTTGCTTTGCATGGTCGAAGCAGCGCAGGTGAATGCTGGTGCGGTTTTTTTCAACTCCTTCTATGGGGTGTACGTTTTCTAATCCCTTTTCCAGAGCTTGCTCTCCATCAGTGCCGTATGTAAGAGTGTGGACACCTCGCTTCTTTAAACTTGAAGCCARGAACTCATAGTCGGCGGTATCGCGCGAGGATGACGTGGTCATACCAAGGAAAATCGATGGATGCTTCATCTTATYTCTTTTGTATACAAACATAGGGTGCGCAAAAGTCATCGCTGTCAAGTAATATGGTCCAACGTTGTAAGTCATGTCTATCCCAACTTGTGACTTGGGCGAGTGGCCACTGCAGAACGTTTTAATCCAGTGAAGTTGGTTGTCCGTCGCCGCGAAAGTATTGGGATATGTTCTATTCAGAAGGTCTTTCTTCTTAACTGAAAATGAAACATCTTTCACAAAACTTCCGGAGTTCATCATTGTAATAAGTTTTCCATTGATCTGCTGCTTTTGCAGGACCTGTGTTTCTTGATTTGTGCTTAACAGGGACTTTTTGTAGTAAAGAATATACTTGTTGGCGATCTCTAGGTATGTCGCTGGGTGACTGCACAGCAATTACTCCTCCAGCTTCTCCCTGTATCTTTTCGATTACTTGCTTGAACTATGTGTTAATGATATCCTAATTTGGTGTTCCTCCAACGGTCTGGCATGTAACCCTGATAAGACTGAAATTGTACATCTTACATCTCGGTTCCTAAAGTACGACCCTATTTCTCACGTAGGCATCGATGGATTAAACATACGGCCCACACAAGAAGCTAGAAACCTTGGCGTTACTATTGACAAGCATTTACAGCTAACAACGCATATCAATAATATCTGCAAGTCCGCCTATCACTCTATCAGGAACATTGGCAAGATNGTAAGTCATGTCTATCCCAACTTGTGACTTGGGCGAGTGGCCACTGCAGAACGTTTTAATCCAGTGAAGTTGGTTGTCCGTCGCCGCGAAAGTATTGGGATATGTTCTATTCAGAAGGTCTTTCTTCTTAACTGAAAATGAAACATCTTTCACAAAACTTCCGGAGTTCATCATTGTAATAAGTTTTCCATTGATCTGCTGCTTTTGCAGGACCTGTGTTTCTTGATTTGTGCTTAACAGGGACTTTTTGTAGTAAAGAATATACTTGTTGGCGATCTCTAGGTATGTCGCTGGGTGACTGCACAGCAATTACTCCTCCAGCTTCTCCCTGTATCTTTTCGATTACTTGCTTGGGCGGGCTTTCTTTTCCATACTCGCAAATTTTATCCATTACAGTCGGTTTCGTTCTCATGTAGGGCTCCTTGACATGTTTGCTATTTCCATGAACAGGAAGAGAGCWGGAAGTCGACTGGGAATCTGGAATATTTGATACTTTGTTTGCTTTGTACTGTACAATTGCCAGTCTCATRAAGCTGTCATCTTTTTGAACTTTGATTACTGTTCTAGCTATTCCATTTATYGTGTGCCAACTGTAGTATCTTCTCACTGTAAAAATGTCGCAAGTTGATGTTTGATTCTCTTTTCCACTAATGCGTTTAAAGGACTTAACATGTGCTGACTGCGTAAGCTCTACTCTTACTCGTTGAATGGGGCTGGAGTGTGATCCGTATATTCCATTATCATCACAAGTCAAGTCTCTGGGATCGACATGATCTAAGTCTACGATAAATACAGCATCTTCTGTGACGGCTTTTGGTRCTGTTTGGCAAATTTTGTCCTTGGGCACTTCGTTTCCAATACAAATATTGAGAATATCCTTCATAGTGATTCCTCTTTGTGATCGTGCGGAGTAAACTGGATAACCTACAAGTCAAGTGAAATTATAGTATATGAACCAATCCCGGAATTCATGGAACAAGGYAGAAGGGCCAAGGGATATCCTATTTGTCGTTTGAATTCCTTGGAAATACAGTGGCAACTCTCCCTATWACGGACAACCTCGTGACCGTAATTTAGTGTCCGAAGTAGCGAAATTCCGTAATAACGGGAGTTTCTTTTAGTCATTTCTTTCTATTTTTTCTAAGGGGATTCAGTTTTTTGTGTCCGTAATATCCAGGTGTCGTTATAGCGGGGTGTCCGTAAGGTGGGAGTTGACTGTAMAATGCAACTTTGTGTTTGAGGGAATGTCATAACAGCGAGCTCTGACATCTAACTGASAAACCTTGAACATGCGAGCGCGAAACACTTTCAAGTGGCAAAGAATTACTCAAGCATGTAGATTTATTTTCATCTGAAAGGAAGGAAAAATCGTTATGAAATTATTGAGATAACAATGTTTAAGACATATAACATAGATGTGTGGCGTGATGGTTTATTGGTTAAGGCGTCGGACCTCAACAGGCTCTACACAGATCTAGGTTCGATTCCAAGACAGAGCGTGCATGACGTTATGTCCCTTGACAATATACTCTGTTCTCCCCATGGGTACGAAATTCCTGGTGGTGTGGATAATATTTAGCACAAACAATTTAATCAATATTGTAATACAGTCATTCARCAAGAAGTCAATGTTATAATATCAATTAGAGTTACAATTACCATTTGCATTGCAATCGTCGTTAACAGCAACTTCTGTTATAATATCGGTGATATCTATTGTGATAAAGAAAAATCAATGCTAAATATATATTGTTCACGGATGCACTCTCATGTGAATCTAATTAATCAAGTATATTATTGATCATATGCCAGCTTCGTACTAACAAGATTCAATACCTTTGTCGTCATCCGACAGTAATGAGATAACTTCTGGTGTGCTTTGCTKTYCTGTGACATTTTTAGCTCCAACTTCAYTTGTCCTTCTATTGACATAACTTGCATTCTTTCTTCCAGCTCCGTTCATATCTTCGTCATCATTATCATCACTGCTACTCCTCTTGTCACTGCTCCTCCCATCGATATTCTTCCTCTTTACACAACGTCCAATCTTCCCTTCACATGCGTTCATCTGATCATAATCATCGTCATTACGGCTACTCTTATCACTAGTCTTTCTGTTCACATAACTTCTATCCAGCCTTCCATCTTCACTTGTCCTTGTACTGACATAATTTACATTCTTTCTTCCAGCTCCGTCCATATCTTCGCCATTATTATCATCATCATCACTGCTACTCATATCATTGCTACTCTTATCACTACTCCTATCGATAGTCTTCCTGTTCACATAACGTCCAATCTTCCCTTCACATGCGTTCATCTGATCATAATCATCGTCATCACTGCTACTCTTATAACTAGTCTGTCTGTTCGCATAACTTCTATCCAGCCTTCCATATCTTCTTTCATATCAACATCATAAGCATCATCATTACTTTCTACGTCACATCCGGTTTCATGATCTTTCTTGTTGCTAATCCTATCATCATTGCCATCTGCGTCTGTTCCAGCGTCGCAYGCAGCGTTTTCTCTGTGTTTGTCAAGGTCTATCACTCTGTCTTCGTTTAGAGACACGTGGTCTTGGTCTCGTTCTCGGAWGTTTTTACCTTTAACAGAAGAAACAAAGTAATGGGAAACTCAGAATACACTCAGTCAACTAATTCCTGAGGTCACGGGTATTGATTATCATTGGTAATATATTCAACGTCCTTTATCCATGCTACTACATATATGGAATGCTTTATAGAAAAATCTTATCAATATACACTGCTTCTCCGGAATATTATACCTAAAAAGTCACTTCTCTTCCTCTTTGCATGATGGAAATCCTCTGGAGAAGGATCTGTAGTTCTCTTACTTCCTGCTGGAACTAGAATGGGACTTTCAACGRCTCTAGAAATAATAATTGTAAAAGTATATGTTATATAACAACTAYTATAACGGCAAAACACAAACAGAAGTTTGTAAACTAAGCTCTCAATTTTAGAAACCATGGMTATTTATATTAAACTGTTGACAAAACGGAATAGCGTACAGCACATTTTCACACTTACCGTGACGCATCCACTATCGCAAAGGATTGGAAGTTCGTTTCTTTYACTCCGCTTTCGTTCAGTCGTTTCCAAACCCACGAACATAATCTCTTTCTTGAATTGTCATCTTTGCACGAGTACACTTTTAGWATTCCGTTCCCATTGCCTCCAACGTTAGCACCAATTCGATGTGAATCAATCAAGAAGTATTGCCCATTTTTACACCCTATCAAAAAGGTATATTCGCYGCAAGTATATAGAGCTATACGTGGGACGTCTTTTAAAGTGAACAATTTAGAAACTCCATCCAGAAGAGCTTTCCTTCCCTCAGGGGAGTACACTTTGTTGTTTAACAAACATTCTTCCGTGAATTCGATACCAGATCTCATGATGCCACCATCTCTTAAYAAACTATAGGCTTCAAGTACGTCATACTTATTCCCAATGTCCCTTAAGTGGTTGAACATTCTTGGGGYGTTAAGGATGACGCAACTGGCTTTCTCTGCTAGCTCCCCCCAATCATCAATCTGGGTTGGCAGCTCATCACCTTCACAAATCAACATATCTGCCAAAAGTACAGATAGAAAGACGCAGCTATTTGTACCATCACTTAMTACGTCAGTCACAATTCTGTCCTCAACGTTGATGACGTTGTGAAACTCCTCAATGGCGGTTGACTGACTGCACATTAGGGGGATGTCACGACAACCCGAGAAAAAATCGCTCTGGAGGAGATGTAAAATTTCTCTTGCACTGGGACGTTTACATGGAGTGTAGGAAAGGCATCTATCCATGGCTTCTGATACGATAAACCAATCTGTGGCTTGCAACTTGTAGTACKTCTTACTTCCTTCGGGAAGTTCCTTTTTATCCATCTTGGACTGCAACACATCTCTCCACTTCTGCCCGAGGTGTTTTCTTGAACGCTGGASCTCAATAAAGAACGGAAATTCGAGGTCTGGGTTTAAGATGACGAAAAATACCATTCCCAACGCCCATATGTCAACTTGCYTGAGATCCTCAATAGAAACTGAGAAGTTGTTTGGCGCACTGAAAATTTCGGGGGCCATGTAAGCTGGCGATCCTCGGTAAACATTTACTGTCGCTTGGTGACGTAAGGTTGCTGTTTGGACCACCTCGCTCCTGCTTTCACCAAAGTCCGTCAGTTTACAAATAATTGGGCATGTTTCAAACACCTCTTCCAATTGTGCTCGAGGTAAACCGC